AGCCCCCAGCAGGAAGTCAGAGGTATTACAGATAGCCTATTCGGGGCATAAAACTAAGACCCGGCAATGTATAGCTGAAAATGCAGGGTCAGTCAGTCCCAGGAGGAATTGAATGTTAAAGGCTTTATGCAGGGGATCAATCACGCTGCCGTCCACAGCACTTGAAACAAGAACCATCAGATCATAAGTAGAGAGACCTGACTCACTGAGCCACACGCAGCAGCCCACACAGTGAGAGTTTATCTGCGACACCAAATCACTCTTTATGTTTGTAGTAAATACAAAACATTCTGCGGCACTGCGAAAATGTCACACTGCGTTCATGGTTCCGCACGATGTCATACGTGAGAAGGGTATGGATGGGAATCCATGCCCCCCTGTCAGAATCCACAGAAATGAAGCCTAAAAATGCTTTAACTCCAAGGTGAAGCTTGTTGTTTACATGGTATGGTTACCACCTGGTGCAGGACCATTAGCACAGACCTCTGTGTTATTCAACCCTGCTGGAATCCAGTCCTGCCGGGTGCTGAGCTTGAACTTTACTCAAGAAGCATGCATCACATTGCACTCATTCCAACACACAGTCACACCGCCTGAGCCACACCCCTGTTACTTAGGCAGCACCACCACACTCCACACACTGATGGGTGAGGTCTAACATGCTTGTGCACATCTGAGGCATGTTAACCTGGGTATGTGTGGGGGGGGTGTACTTTGAGGCAGACTGGAGGCCGTTCTGCGCCGGCGTGGTCTCCGGTTTCTGCATAGGCCTGATTTAGGCCTGATTTTGGGGGCGGAATCCGGAGGCCTAGAATAAAGTATCAGCTGACTGATTGCAGTTTAGCGGCAGGTGGGTCTCTGTAGCCAGTGGCTTTACCGCTGTGCCATTGGCTGCCTGGATGTCTATAAGCTCTGTTTCAAATCAAAAGAAACTTGTGCTTTTTCTGCCATAAAAGAGTACAAAATGTAAACTGCAAAAATTGTAGCTTTCCAGTCTAGAGAATTAGATATAGTTTTATTGTAAATAGCTCCTTGTTGTGTTTGCTATTGTTGTTGCTGTTCTTGGGGGTCTCCCTAGGGGGCAGAATGGTTGATGATTGAGGAGGACTGGAGAGCCTGAACCTGGGGTTTGGCGCCACCTGAAGGCTGTTTAAGGGGATGTTTTTGCGAGATTTCTGTTAACAGTATAGATTCTATGGCCAACAACAGCTATTATTAATGTCCTTACAGAAAATGTCCATCTCATTTACTGTATTTTGTCATCCATGATTAAATGGAGAAAAAGTTTTTGTTTTTTTTCATATGAATCTTCTCTGTCTTGTTCTTTATCAAACCGAGAAGTAAGATATGTGCTGTTTTCAGTGCTGTCGCAGAGCCATGGGTCAGGGAGCAAAAACAACTGCTTTTGTTTTGTTTACATTAAATTGTCTGTCCACTGATTGGGTAATAACTGAAAAGGTCACATAGCTGCCTTCCAGATCTGTTCTTGGTATTCAATGCATTAGCTTGGTATTCAAGAATAACATGATGGGGCAGCTTGCTGGCTCACTGGTTAGTACTGTAGCCTCACACCTCCAGGACTGGGGTTGGGTTTGTTTAATGTGAAATTCAAAAAATGCATAGTGAGATAAATTGGTGTCTCTAAGGGGGATATGATTGGACTGATGTTACATTTGGGAGGAAGTAATAAAAGAGAATTTGTTGATAATCTCTGCTGACACTGGGAGATCAGGAGTAAATTTTCATAATTTGAACCAGTTTCAGTAATATTAATATGGACAGGTATCAGACCTCAAAAATAAACTAATAAATAAATAAATGGCAAGTCAAAAAAATGGTAATTTCCAAGGAGCAGACTGATGTCTTCTGGGCCCCATGTAGAATAGCTTATGCTGAGTGAGTCTCTCTCACCACAAGAGGGAGCCAGTTATTCATCATGTGACCATAGTTCACAGTTTACTCAAGAAGCATGCATACATACACAGAGGCGGACATTTCAGGTCCAGAAAGTGAAAATCCAAACCACGATTTTGTTTCAACCAACCAGTACTCTGTGACTGTAATTCTTTATGCTCAACTGGTTGGTTGAAATGAAATCCTGCTTTGGATTTTTACTTCCTGCCCCTGTACATACATAAACACACATACACACACTGTGCTGGGAATCTACTTTTAAACAGGAGCTTTTCAAGCTACAAGGTAGTTGGGAGCAGCATGTGACTCAGTGGGCTAAGCCTCTATGCCAGGGGTCTCCAACTCCAGTCCTGGAGGGCTACTATCCAGTAGTTTTCTATCCAACTTGGCTTCTGATGAGTGACACCTGTTTTTGGGTAAATACCAGGAACAGGTGTCACTCATCAGAAGCCAAGTTGGATAGAAAACTACTGGATAGTAGCTCTCCAGGACTGGAGTTGGAGACCCCTGCTCTATGCCTATGATCAGAAGGTCACTGGTTTGAGCCTGGCCTCAGCACGTCCACTGGCCATTGATCAAGGCCCTTAACCCTCAGCTCACTGGTTGCTGCCCTTTGCGGCTGACTTGCTCTTTCTCCTACAGACAGCAAGCTGGGGGAAGCATAAAGAGAATTTCCCCAGGGGAACCAAAGACTGTCAGTTATCATTACTTACGATTAAAAGTAACTACGTTACAGCCAAGCTACTGTTTTCATATATAAGTTAGCTACACTACCAAGCTACCAAGTAGCTAACTACATTGGAACTATTTCATCTGCTAATACTTAATTTTTGTGCTGTAGGATACTCTTAAAGCAAATTAATTTTAAAAATGTGAAAAATGATGCTAAAAGTTGAAATGAAAATCTAAATTTTTAAACAATGTAATGTCAAATCACAATAAGTTCTGTGTAAGTTCTAATTACTATGTGAAAATTAGAAAGGTTACAACAAAACGAGACAGTTTGTTAGCCAGTGTTCCCCCCCGCCTTTTTTTTCTCTTGTCCCCCCTCTGTTTTTGTTTTGAACCCTTGTGGTCCTGGGGCCTGTTTCACAAATCAGGATTACTTGCTTAGCCAGATAACTTGCCAGATTTAAGGTAGTCTGGGCTAAATGTAAATTGATGAAAATAAGGTCTATTTAGCCCAGACTACCTTAAATCTGGCAAGTTATCTGGCTAAGCACGAAATCCTGCTTTGTGAGACAGGCCCCTGTTATCTTTATTGATGGTTCCCATTGTGTTTCAGTTCTCCCAATTAACCCTTGTCACTTGAAGCCGTAGGTAGATCATCACATCCTTTCCTGCCCGCATTAAGCCTGAATCCGTAACATATTCCGGCACATTCCAGGCCCGAGCTACAAGTCTCAGCTTTGGTGTCTGTCTTTCCAGCCCCAGTTTTTTGTGCTCATTCCCGCTCCTGCTGTCGTTTCCTCATTCCATGCATATACTGAGCCGTCTCTATTCATCTTTCTAACTTTCTTTTCTGTTTCTCTGCCTATAGGTACAATTTATTTTTGTTAACCTATTTGTAACTTTAATATCAATAAAATGAAAAGCACACGTCATTTACTTTATTCTGTGATTGCTGAGATATTCCCTTAATTAAAATGCTTAATTGCCACGCCGCCAACTTTCACTTTCTCTTAGAGGTTTAACTACGATCAGAGGCAGTTTGAACGCCAGTCTTATTCGTTGCCTAAAACTGCACATATAACGAAACATTAATCAAAAATACCGACGTAAAAATACTGAAATGGTGAGCAGACCTTTTTTTCTACAAGTTTAATTTCGATTCTTACGTTTAGCTGAGGGAATTGCTACATAACAAACAATCGGTAAATGGCGTCAAATGAAGGTGAGTTTATGTTTTAACTTATTTCACTGCTGTGTTAACTATATAGAAAAACATGTGCCTCAAGATATGCTATTAATTAGGCTATGTATATTTTGCAGCTGTACCTAGTCATTGACATTTTTTTTTCTTGATTTTAGTCGATGTGACAGGAAGACGGAGAAAGTCGAGTATGGACAAACCTTTAAACAGTAAGTGCTTTGAAGGTAACAGACTTGTACTGACTGTGGTGGCGGCGGTAAATCATTTTCCAGAGTAAGGGAATCGTCCAGGTGTCAGGAGGCTGCAACCAGTTTGTATAAGACTCTCGGGAGATGTGGGATGTTTGCGGTTTTAACATATTTTCCCTTAAAATACAGCACATAAGTAGTTGACATCCCTGAGTTTCCTGCGCATTGCCTCGTTTCATGGTTTCAAGTTTTTTTTATTTGTTTGTTTTTGTCACGTGTTCAGAGTATCAGTGAAATTTTTGCCACAGGTGCCACAAGTCACTTTTATTTATAAATAGTGCTGCCATCAATTTTTCAGAATACCTGTTTCATTTGTTTTATTATTTTTAAAGCATGTCTTTCAGCCCCTCACGAAGAGAAGTGGTTTGATTGGCATTATTAAAGTAACATTTTTGTTATTCCACAGTGCCTGCGGACTTGAGGATCGTGCTGTTTAGCAGCAGAAGTCACTTACAGTTCATCGTCTCAAACTGTATCCTGGGACGGCAGGTGTTCATGCCAGCTGAAGGCAGCCTTTCACAGAGTTTGAAGAATCTTGGGGAGACAGAGGGCAGAAGAGTATCAGTGATCAACTCACCAAACTTCTTTGAGAAGGACCTTACACAGCAACATATCAAGAAGGAGCTGAAGAGATGTGTGTGTCTGTCTTGCCCTGGACCCCATGCTGTCCTTTTAACCCTGGACTTGGAGGACATCTCAGCAACTGATGTCCGTATTGTGGAAGAACTTACCAAGTACTTTGGGGACAATATCTTAAAGTACACAATTCTTCTTCTGTGCCATGAGGGTAAGGAGGAAGATTCAAGCTTGGAGGATAGACTCCAAAAAGATATAAACCTCAGAGAGATTATGGACAAGTTTGGACACCAGTATCATCTGTTTAACAAGAATTCTGTGGGAGCTGGTCCTTTGCTGGAGAGGATTGAGAGTTTGGTGGCTGAAAATGGAGACAGATTCTTCACTAATTACAAATATGAGGAGATAGAAGGTAGCATAAGAAAAGAGGAAACATTCATTGAGAAGGGAAGAGAGAAAGAGTTAAAGAAAATGCTTTGTGAGCTAGACAGCAAATACGAGGGAGAGGAGCTGGAGAGGGAGAGAGACCAATATCTGAAGGGTGTCAGGGCTGAAATTAGAAAAGAGGCTGAACGGATCATTCTGGATCGACTTGGGATTGTCCTTTGGGTTGTGTATTATGCTGACTAGGTACTGGGAGGGGCAGTTCAGGGGCAGTTAGTCCGAGGAGTTATACGGACAGTGTGGGGTGTGGTGGGCAGGATAGCTGGAGCGTTATGGAGATACATTAGACGTTTTTATGCTGTTAACATTAGAGGGCATTATTTTTAATTTGTGTAAATTTGAGTACAATAGTGGTGTTACTTATAAATGTTTTATTTTTATAGGAATATTTTAGAGCAGTGCCAGTTATTTGAGCGGGCCACTCACTTGAATGTGAAGTACAAGAGATTTTATTGTAATAATGAAGTGATGGATGGAGGGGAACACAGTACTATGAATGCAGAGTGGGAAGCGAAGGAAGACGAGAAGGATGGGGCCTGTTATTGGGGGAATGGAGATTCCTGACTGTATGGAAACCCGGCCACAATCAGGCACAGGGATCAGGGCTGGTGCCTGACTGAGTGACCCCAAGCTCACTTTAGAGGAGCAAATCACATGTGTAACATGCTCATTTTCAATATTTTCTGTAAATATAAAAAGTATACTTTATTTTATATCACAGTGAAAGCTAACAGGTTAATTGCACAATAATTTTAATGTCATAACTGCAAAATAATATGGCGTTATTTTGATACTCAACTGGGATGACAGTATGAGCAAAGGTTTTAAATAGACTTATTCCTTCCTGAATCCATCCTGAAATAGGATAAATTATGTTAATTTTGTTTTTTAATTTATTATTGTTTTGTGTATATACAGGCACTTTGTGACACTACAGAGAACTGAATTTCACTTTGTTTTGGATGAATGTCACACTGTCATGGTGTGCTGCTGAGGGGACATGAATGGAGGATTAATCAGTCTGGATGTAGCTGCGGTTGTCGCTAGCCCCTGAGTTAGCTTCTCACAGGGAAGCTGACTGAGAGGGAAGGCGAGGAAAATTTACTTGGATAATTTTTTTAAATAAATCAATAAACAGATACATTAATAAGATAGTACTGTAATTTACAATATTTGTTTTATTTTATTGCAGCTAATAGCTTAAAATTGTAATTAAATGCACTTTAAATGGTTACCAGTCTTCTGTTTTTAGAGCCTTTGGCCTAATGGTTGTAGATTTACATGAGCAGATACTAATCTAGCAGCAGAGAGGCTCCAACGGGATCTGGATTTAATTAGCGAATGGGCTGATACTTGGCAGATGAAATTTAACACAGATAAATGTAAGGTAATCCATGCAGGGAGCAGAAATATACAGTACAGATATTTTATGGGTTCCACTGAAATAAAGGTAGCTGATTACGAGAAAGATCTCGGTATGTATGTTGATGCTTCCATGTCCCACTCTCGCCAATGTGGGGAAGCAATAAAAAAGGCGAACAGAATGTTGGGTTATATCTCTAGATGTGTGGAGTTTAAGTCAAGGGAGGTGATGTTACACTTATATAATTCCTTGGTAAGACCCCACC